ATGGCACGTCCTCCACGCCCACCCCGAAGTCCCTTGCTCATGTCCCGGTCGTCTGCGTCAGGGTTCGTGTGCTTGCCCTGAACAATGCTACCGGGAGCTAGTCGAATGTTCTTGATCCACGTAGACAGATATGCAATCTGATGATCCATCGTCTCGAACTAGCGGCCAAACCCCTCGTAATGGTGACTTAGTTTTTCGATGGCAGCGTCACGCCTGTTATCTACAACTTCTTGTCTCTGTGGGGGCATCTTTGATCGTGTCTGGTCATTGATATGAACTGATGTAGCGCAGTGTACGAAGGGAAGAAGAGTAAAAACTGACATATTTTATGTTTATTTCTCAATAGTCGATCGACTAGATGAAAGAGCAGAAATAAATAGAGTCCCAAAACATCTTACTTGCTACGCGATCCATATGTGACCGATCCTTTTTTTGGCCCGATTGTTACTTGCCTCGCATCTGGTCCTTTTGAGGGCTATGTTCTCTCCAATGGCTTTCTTTTCTTTTCCGGGGCGTGCGGCTGTGTCTTTCGAACTTTAGTCTTCCCCTTACCTTGATGGCGGATCTTCATGTTGTCAGTGGGTCGCGATCGATCTATCGACTTAGTAGCTTTGTTGAGCGCTGGCGGGTTTGTCAGGTGTCCAAGGGTGTGGCATCGAATGCGGGGCTTTACCGCCCTTAGAGGCTTATGTCAAAATAGTTAGGCCAAGCTCCAATCTTAGAGGCCTATGAAAGCTAGTTGAGAACTATGAATTCACAATCTCAGATAACGCATAATAAAGTTACCAGTAAAAGGCCACGTAGTCCCAGCTACCTCGGATAGAGCTGGTTTAGCTCGCACATTGTCAACGAGTCATTTGACGAGGTGCCAAATGATGAACAATATGAAAGCAATAAAAGGAATAACTAGGTCTACGATATTCAGCTCGATAACTTATGAAATCAAAGCAAAAGAAAGCTCATTAGAACCTCGAGCAGCCGAGCTTGAGGGCCATAAGATTAAGCTTGGCAGGATCTCAAGAATGAGAGCTCGTGGAAGGCCACAAGATGAAGCTTGACAGGAACTTGAGATGGAGAGCTCGAAGAGGGAATAAGAATAAGCCTAGAAAGACCTCGAAAAGGTGAGCTCGAGGGCCATAAGCTCTACTTCGAGCAAATGAACTCGGAGGACCACAATTAATCGGTAGAACCTCGATGGGGGACTGAGATATTGTCAAAGGGAAGAACCCCGATCAGATAACTTGAGCGCTAAAAGACTGAGAAGTATAAGCAATTCAAATGCAAACTACTGTCAGAAGCATAAGTTATTCTAGTTTGTAGCAAGCAAGCTACTCCAGTTTGAGGAAGGTTCGAGAAGTGACAAGGAGCTTCAAATACTCAACTCTAAGGGCAAAAAAATATAGACAAAATTAAAGAGGGACTAAACTTCAAGTAGATGAGCTCGAAGATTTACGGTTAAGTAATAAGACATTGCCAGAAAGGCTAAGATGTTGTCAAGGGGTAGAGCCTCGAGCAGAAGAGCTCGAGTTCCCAAGGGCAATTATCAGAACCTCGAGTGGTTAACTGGAAAAACGTGTAAGGAGGCAAAAATTTCGAGTTGGTGCTTGAGGCTTTAGATCTATGAAGTATCATTTCACAAATGAAAGCAACCTAAATAGGGTGGCAAAAGAACAAGATTTTCTGTAAAAAGCAAGGATACTGAGAAAACAACTTAAGAGCTTAAGTAAGTTAACTGGCCAGGTCGGCCCATGTTAGTAAGCTCGGAGGTTGGGAGAACTAAGGAGCTTGGATACTCAAAAGGACCGCATGGCTTGTATGACAAAGAAGTGGAGGTCGTTACGACTTAGTTATAAAGAGAGCAGATCGACTACCATTTTCACAAAGGTCCAAGTTGCTCGTCTAGAGTAACAGGGTTGGAAAAGCAGCGCGTTGGATCGGTCTGAGTGGTTGGCTTAGGTATGGACGACCCAAGTGAGTTTTTGCTCGGCTTTAGTATTCAACCACGTCAGAGAGTTCACGTATATGGCAGGGCATGTGTGAACTCAGGTAAAAGGATTAGAATTTGGGCTCCTCTAGAAGCCCAGACAGGCAGGGAGATCTTATCATCCAAGGATGTACATATGGAGGTTGGGTCGTGGTTACGACCTGGTTATGCACTTAGCCAGTAGCTCGGGGGACTATGAATTTTTTAAAGTGGCAGAAGCCCAAGAAGTTGTTTTGGGGAGCCAAGGATTGTGAAAAAAAAAATTGCCGAGCAGGTAGCCCAAAAACTAGACGATCTAAGGTGGCAGAACTCCGGGAAGGTAGCTTGGAGGTCACAGGGGCAAGGGACATGCAAAGTTGGCTCATAAGCTATTGTAGAAAAATACATTTTTACCGAGTACCGAATCCGAAAGATTCGTTCTCCGGGTCGATCTCTCAAGGAAGGCGGTTCGGAATCTAGGAATGGTGTTGATAACACATAAAAGAAAATAAATCCTAAACACTCTAATCAAGATAGTAGTTTTTTATTATCAACTACGAAATAGAATTCAAACAATGCAAAATCGAACTTAAAAGCAAAGATGAAGATCAAACGATAAGAAGCCAGGGCATCGGGGATGATGATTTTCTAACCAATGCAAATATCAAGCTAAAATCATTCGGTTGGATGATTCGAACAACCTAACGTCTAAAGATTAATCCGCAATAACTCTTCGTAACAAGAGGGAATCATAGACGGTAAATTACGCAAATCACACAACACATAGACAATACGTTTCTGAACAAGTCTATTTTGTACGAGCCTAGATCGATCAACTCCTCCCTTTCGGTTCTAAGAGTTGATTAATTATCCTAGACGATTGTTAATCTATTAGTTCATTGGATTTAAACACATCACATAAGAACGAATCATATTCAATTGGAAATCAATTGCGAATCGAAGTGTCACTCTTCGACAATAATCAACATTCAATGCACGAAAATTATAAACCCTAGTTAAACACAACTCGCATAAATTGAACGATCAACAAGCATGAAAATCACAATTATATTCTAAACATCATCATTATCCCCTATCCCTAGCGAAACGAATTAGCTACTCATATGGAATTCAAAATCAAAAATCTCAACAATCAAAGTCATCATATTCATGGATTAGATGAAAAGAGAAACTTACGATTAATAGAAATTCGATATTTGAATCTAATGACAAAGCTAAATCCAAAAAAGTAAAAAGAGAATTGAGCAAAAAGAATGATCAAAATACAAGTTTTTGAGTAGCAGAAAGGGGAAAAACAAGTTTGGGGATTGTTCCCACGAGTCTAAGGATCATTTTGATATATAGTGCTCGAAAACGGAGCTAAAACGAGTAAAATCGGAGAAAAATAAAAACAGGGTCAACCCAAGAGTTGCGAGTCAACAGGGTCAGAGGGTCGGGGCGCGCGCGCGCGCGGAAGTCGCGAGCAGGAGCGTCGGGTCGCGAGGGGCCTCGGACGTCTCTGTTTTTTTCGCGAGGCGCGACACGCTCGGTCGTGAGAGACGCGCGTTGCGCGCTGGGCGTGGGGTTCGTCGCGGGTCTCGGGCGCGACTCGGGCTGCACTGCGCCACTTTACGTTTCGGGCTCGTTTGGGCTCGTCCGAACTCGGAATTGAGTTCCGTTTTTCCTACGCGTCCCTAACGAAACCCTCTATCCAATTATGCTTTGGAAACTAATTTTTCCTGTTGATAAAATTCGCCAAAATCTCCCGACCTACACACCAAAAACGACAAAACACAAAATAGACCGGAAAAACAAACGACAAACACCTAAAGACTCAAAATGAACAAAAACACATAATAAAACACGAAATAGATTAAAAACAAAAGAAACGACCTAAAACGAGGGAAAAAGAAAAGCAAAACGAGCACAAAAAATGTAAAAAAAATGGGACAAACATAAGCCATAGGTGCACCGAAAACAGACATTTTGACACAGTAAACAATGATGCCTAGATAATCTCAGGACCACTTATGGTGCATTAAATGCACAAGCAAGTCAAGTTCAAAGTTACAGTTAAGTGGCATTTCAGTACAAGTCTTGGCAGCTCATTTTGAAATTGGGGGTAGATGATGTAGTAAGGGAAGTAATTTGGTGGACCAACTTGAGTAGTGGGCTCAGATCCGGACGGTCTAGGGAAGCTTAAGCCTAGCTTGTGTGGTTGAAAAAGATATACGATATTGGTTAAATACCTATGGAAAGATTTCTAAAAGATATTTAAGTAAGTTGGTGTATTATGTACACATTTATTAAAGAGGATCAGAATCTTTGGATATTAAGAAAATCCCTTGTCTTGAGGAGTAAGTCATTAAGCCCCTTATATATAAGGATCTAGGTTTTATTTTTGATTTGAGTATCAAGTGTCTACCCAGAGGCGCTGCCCCTGGCGCTTTGCAAGTCGATTCAGTTCGTAAGCGAAGGTGATCGAGACTAGGTGATTCAACGGCAATCTTGGTAAGATGAATCTTTATTTGACACATCAGTGGTGATGCGTTTGAGGGTAGACTAACTTGCAAGATGAAGAAGATGATGTATTTAATTGTTAATGATCCATTAAGAGTATTTAATAATTATTTTCTTTAAAATAACAAATTATTAAATTGTAAATTATTATTTTTTAACTAATGTTTAAGTAAGAACGAATAAGTCCATTTAGAATTAATTTAAAAATACCATTTATCACAATTAAGAGGTGTTTGACAGCGGACAACTATATACAGGCTAATCTTAGAATTAGTTGATTTGGCAGGTTAATTTTCACTAGACTCTCAAATGTTATAATTTACCAGTTTGAATCATAACTTTCATCATCGACACAATATTTGGATAAATTTTTCAACTCATAAAATTTCTACCAAGTAAAAAGGTCTGAAGTGACAAGTCCAGATATACATTCATCATAACTATTAGGTGAAGTCATTTATCAGCTTTATATATAAAACCATTAATTTCATGAAATGGTAAAGCAGTTCATGCATCCATGACCTTTACTATTATTAATCATCTGATCCGGGTTTGCGTGCACACAAACATGAAACAAAAGGATATAAAAGAAGGGGGAAAAAAAAAAATACCCTTATATAAAAACTTTTATAATCAATATTTCTTCACCATAGGTGTGGAATTTATTTCATTCTCAACACAAGCAGCAAATTAGAGAATGTAAATACCAGCTCTAATCAATAATATTATATATTGCTTCCTCTATAATACATTATGGCTATTCCCACAAATGATTCACTTGGACGCGCGCGCGCTTTGAGGGTCCGAAGCCTCGTTCATGTCGACATTCTTTTCGATATCCTTATTCGGCCCAAGCTCAAAGTCCTTCGCCTTGCCATCTAATTTGTTTGCATTCTTGTAGATGAAGTACAGAATCATTTGAGCAATTCCGAATAAAAATCCCAGGACATTTGGCAGCTGGATCATCATATTTCAACCAAGCAAGCAGTTTAAAATTTGTATTCGATCATAAATTGCTAGAATATATTGAAAAAAAAAAAAAAAACGAAAGGAGAAAAAATTGAATAATAATTGAATAACACCATATATATATGAGGTACTTACTGCTATGTAGAAATCCTTGACAAAGAATCCATAGAAAAACCACATAGTGGCACAGAGGGTGAGGAAGAATGATAGAGTGAATGGCATGAACTCTACGCTTTTCGTCCTTATCACCCGTCTCTGATCAAATACGACTATTAATTAGTACAGGCAAATAATTATTATTATTATTATTATTATTATTTGGCTAGTAAATATTCTAATTAATTGAAGATTTTCAAATTATATTCAGGAAAAACAAGAAAACTTGTACCATACCATGATGCTTAAAGGAGCAGCAAATACAGCTAAGTTGATAATGGCACAAATCCATCCAACTAAGGACACCCTTTTCGGACCTTCAACTGCTAGTAATGAAACTGCCGCAACCAACCCTAAACCTCCAATATTGAATATGAGAATCAACCTTATTGTGAAAATCTGCAAATTAATAAGCACCCAATATCATATAAATAATTAAATGAAAGAATATAAACTTTTATACATACTTATAGTTTTATTATAGTATATACATGAGTATCATATTATTATACCTTGTCGTTCTTGGGCGCATATATTAGATAAATCGCGAGGTAAATGACTTCGATGACACATCCTATAGCATTGATGCTAACAATCATATAAGCATTTGTCTTAAGGACAGCATAATAAAGTAGTAAAGAAGCACTGAAAAATGCAACCGAATAAGGTATCGACTGGAATCCTTCCGACGATTTCTTCTTGCAAATTGTGTAAAATGTTGGCCTACATTACACAATTAAAGACCAAACAATATTAGTAATAGATATATATATTTCCATTTGCATGGAAATTAAAAGATTAGCACTCATGAACAAAAATATATTCAAAGATTTCCAATTAAGTTCCGTTAATCTTACAGCGGCGCCAAGAATACCAAAAATGATATTATATTGCCTGTGCATAAAAAATAAATAAATAAAAAACGATTAGTTTGAGCACATGAGAAGTACGACTAAACCAAACGTGTAATGAAATATAACTCTTACCCAATAAGCCAAATATGAAAGCGAGCTTCTCGCAAGTGAAGAAGGCCATTTCTACGTACTATGTTTATTGAAGTGAAGAAGCTCTTACAATGATATCGATCGATAGAGAAGAACTTCTTGTCATAAAAACTCTTTAGAATCCTTATTTATAGGTGAAAAAACCGGGTTAATGTTTGGCCGCCATGAATATGTAACATTATATGGCCATGCTACATTGGGTGTACGAATGGAGGAGATAACAATACCAACATCTTTTCTTCATATTGATATGTCAGTTCCATGTTTACATGACTTTGGCCTAAGCCTGCAGGGTATAATGGTCAAAACTTAACATATATAGGTATTAAATTTGTCATGTTTTAATAGCTATCACCTCTCCCAGTATNTTTTTTTTCACAATCAAGCTGAATTGCTGATCCATCACTAGCAATTTGCGCATGAACTCTTCAGCGCGCGATTGCATTTTATTTATTAGTCTGTGTTGAGTTTTAGATGTATCAATTTTTCTTCTCGTATGTCTATTAGAGAAAATCTTCAATAAGAAAAATCAAATGTGTGCCATTAAGGTTGAATTTTAACTTGTTGAAAGATTAATTTGAGTAATCATTACGCAGGTGCCCAGAGACATAATCAATATCACCGACTTGGTTACCATTTTTTTTTTCTTTTATTATAAACTAGTACACAGATATGTTATTATATATTATGTGTATATATTATATTAAAATTTTAAAATAGATAATGTATATATCACATTTTTTAAATTTAATTATTAGCTAGTACGATACCCGTGTACTACACGAGTACTTAAATATATTAATATTTATAGAATAAAAAATTAAATTTATTTATATTTTTATTATGAAATTATGTATAATGAATTTACAACAATTAACAAAGTGATAAATTAATTCAATACGACGTCCACATTGTTGATACTCAATTTGGCTCCAATTAATTAAATAATAACTAGAATAAAAAGAATGGGTCAATAACCAAAATACACGACGAAATAAATATACAGACAGGTTCTCGAGACTGATCAGCCAGAAGCCACCTCAGATAGACGTCAATCGAAGCCGTCAAACATCATAAGCGGGCCCCACGATGATTAACTCATTTAAATAATGATGTACCATTTTTACTTATTCAAAGACCCACTTGCAAAAGTGAGGGATATATATATATATATGGAATGGGGAGGAGAGAGAAAGGGACTTTTACCTTCATTCTTCATTTTTTCTTCCCACACAACACAAGAGAGAGAGTAAGAGGCGGTTGGATGAGCTCTCTCCATTTGTTCACCTTCTTCCCAATAACAAAAGAGAGTATTATCTCCGAAAAATAAGAAATAAAAACATCATTTTTAATAGATTTGTTCTTCAATATCATACAAGCAATTCGTATTATATTTGACGGTTGATCGTTCGATTTTCGACATCAACACACATTTTTTCAGTAAAGTTGTCAAAAATGATATTTTTTTATTATATTTTTCAAATTATATATGTATAAAAGAGATATTATTTACAACTCCAAGTATCTGATTCGAAATTTTTTAAAACAAAATAAATTTACTGTGTTGTGATTATATTTTATATTTATATAATCGGTTTCTCTGGTTTACTCAAGTTTTTTGAATTTATATAATTAATAATTTTGAGTATCAATTTACGCAAAAATGTATTATGTTATAAATTTATGAAATTCAAAATTATTTTATTATATTTAATTAAGATATCCTTTAATATTTTATATCTTGAACGACATAATAATATTTAGTTTTTATATGATATATATAAATCGACAAAACAAATTTTATGATATTTATTATAATTTATTTTATGCAACACTTAATTTCTATATTTTATCCAAAATATATTGAAAGAATGCATTAAATTAATTACTTCATGGTGTATTGATGAATTAGATTTTTATTATTTTTAAAAAATAATTTATAATTTTATTTGATATTTTATAAATTTATTTGATAATAAAATTAATTATATATATATGAAATTATTTTATATTTTATATATGCAATATGGATGTCAAATCGAAGATCGTTAAAATATGATTATTTTAATATATCATAAATAAAAAATAAAATACAAATAAAAAATTTATAAGGTTTTATATATAAAAAATAATACTAATTCATGATAATTATTATATGAATTAAACAAGAAAAGAAAAGAATGACATATGGTAACTTAGAAAAAAGGAAAGTTAAAATAGTTTATGGTAACTCTCAAGCCTAATAGTCAAAACCAAACTTATACATTTGTAAATATGAAACACAAATTTATGACAAATAAGCTTATGAAGCACACGAGACTGTCACTTAGGCTCAGGACATTAAGTAATTATATATAAGGGCGATAAATGAATAATATAAATATAAATTATATAACTACAAAAGAATCTATATATTGATTGCCTAAAATGTAATACATAACATAATTTTTTGTTACTTTGACGGATTATGACCAACTAATTACCTAGAAAAATATTGAAATAATAATATTTATTACATAAATTGTTTAAGGGGTTTTTTCATGTCATTAAATTAATTATATGATAAAACTAATATTACTTTTAGAATAAATAGCTTGACAAAAATAAAATATATTTTTTTATGATTAATATGTAACTTACATATACCATTTAGGGTGAATTATAATTAGTTGATTTTAGTAATAACTATTGGATGATAGAATAATTAATAGAATATGATTAAACTTAATTAATAAAAAGTTACCTTATTAAGTTCAAAATGATTTGGGCGAGAAAAGTAGGTTATCCGAATTAATTGGATAGTCTAAAACTATATATATATATATATATAAATGTTATGCAGAAAAAAAAAATTGTTTTATGGAAGTCTTAGAAAACACTAAAGAAAATTAACATATTGTTAAGGTAAGTCCAAAGGTAAAATATTCGAATAAAAAAATTGTGGGTATTATTCTAGTGTTCTAGTTGCTGAAAAATTTTCAATAGAAACTAAACTGACTTACTAAGCTGGAACTAAATTTCCATTAGAATTCTATTTGTAATTTAGTGATTTCAACATTAATTTTTCAATGATCAAGAATTTTAGTTGAAATACGCGATTTCTGTTGAAAAAAGTTACCAATCAATGGCGGGGCTCCACCCCACCAGCGGCTCAGACAGGCACCTTGGCTTGTAGCTGGAAATTCGTTAGTCCTCGGCTCCTCTCTAGAGATAGTGATTTCCACTGGTTTGGGTGGACTGATGAGGTTGTTGTCTGCAATTCAGAGGGTGTTTCGGTTGCATCTTGCATCGACCGACGATTTGCGGAGGTCGAGTAAGGGGCTTTGCATCCTTCCCTTCTTCGTTCACGTCCTTTCTCTGGCGTTGGGAAAGCGGGAACCTCTAGCGATGGCGGCCAGTGTCTTCGGGCGGTTAGGGCTACTGTGGTTGGTTTGTGGTGGGGGGTTGGCAGTGAGTCTCGTGGTATATCTGATGGTGTGTAGCCGGTCAGTGGTCGGCTCTAGTTAGCTGTCGTTTGATGGGAGCTTTTAGATCCGGGACTCGGACCGTGCTTTCAGCCTTTTGGGTAGGCTCGTCGGTGGTTCGAGTGGTAGTGGTTAGGTGTAGCCGTTCGACTGGGAGTATTACTATATTTTCTTTTTGAGTGGGTGTGTTTGTGGTAGTTTAGGCTGCCCATCAGGATGTCCTCCAGTTTGAATCATTCGACCAAATTAAATTTTACGGTAGGGACGAAGCCGGATTTTGTGGCATTGATTCCCGGCAGAGAAAACAGAGAGCTGGTGTGCGAGAGAGATGCAGCGGGTGGTTGCGGCGGGCGGCGGCTAGCGTAAACTGACGGCGGCGGGTGAAAGCAGGTTGTGGCGGGCTTTATTTCCGGTGATGGAAGGCCAAACGACGGAGTAATTTCAGATTGACTGTGTGTGTGTGTGAGAGAGAGAAAATGAGGGTTAAATTAATTTTGGTGGAGGTGGTGGGGCCCACTTAATAGATGAGTTGTAATTTTCTGTGTGTTCACTATTTTACCCTTACTAGGTGGACAAATATGTACATTTGACCACAATGTGTATGCCAAATTACAATGTTGCCATTAATGATTGACCAGATTTTGACTTAATCCTTACCATTGATACAATGTATTCAATTATCCAGATTTATTCTCATTTCTTTCACTATCTACCATTCTCATATGATCATAACTCTCTCTCTCTCTCTCTCTCTCTCTCTCTCTCTCTCTCTCTCTCTCTCTCTCTCTTTCTATATATATATATATTCGTTTTATATTCAATATAATTTTAAATATATTCAAATTTATTTATTTTCTTAAAAAAAACTCTACATCGGTCCAATCAATTCTGTCGGTCCTGATCGGTTCAGCCGTTCGTTGACTGGAGCTTGTCCGATTCATTTACAAATCGATGGACCGGATTTTAGAACAATGCTAATACTAATCATTATAAATATTAGGGTTAATTGCTAAATAAACCTCAACCTTTTTACTTTTAGCAATTTTATCCCAACCTTTGGATAATTGCATTATAATCTCAACCTCACGTTACTTATTGCAAGTCGAACCTTAAACCGGTCGGACCGTCCAAAAACGCCAGCGTGTCCGGCAGCTTACATCTACGTGGATTTTCGGCTTGCTACGTGGATATAGAGAAAATTACACATAGGCACCAGACCAGTTTTGAAAATTAGAAACAGACCCCAAGTCTGTTTTGAAATTACAGATTTAACTCTGGGGTCAAATTGTAATTAACTGAAACTTCTGAAAATTTCAAAATAGCCCTTCACATTTGTCAAATTCTCAAAATCAGGTCCCTGCCCTAATTTTCCTTTTCTTCCGTCAGTTCAACCCTTGCCCGCCGCTGCCACGCGTCTGCCGCGGCTTCCGACCTCCGGCAAGCCATCGCCGCCCCAGGCCAGCGGCTTCTCGCCGAAATCCCAGATTTTTTTTTAATGTTTGTCCGCCATTAATGGCAGACCGAGCTCGAAGCTTGATTTTCCCAGAAGCCCACACGCACGGAGAACCACCTCTGCTCGGCTCCAAGCACGAACATCCATCGAGAAAGAGGGTCACGCGACGAAGCC